GGTTTTGTAGAACATTGTATGTCATTATTTGAGTTGATGTCAAGATTGGCACGGAGCCATATTATGGATGTCTGTTCATTTATATGGATTAAAATTGTTGTCTATCAGATGTTGATTAATTAGTGGGATTAAGATCCCTGAGTTAGTCCGAGTTATAGCTGTCATGTTGTCCATGAAATTCTATCTGGAATGGTACTAGTTGTCATATTCGGATAGACATTGACTGTTAATTATGGTCACAGGTTAATTATAAGAATTATGTACAAGTATGGGACTATACATATTTGGCTATATTGGAAATGCAGTTATGTAGTAAATAAAGTGATAAAAGAGTTAAGTCTTCTGCTTTAGAATTTAATTTTTTTGCGCTTTAAGTACCATATGTGAGTTAACAAATCTGTCCGGAACGGGGTGTTATAGTTTTAATTCTCCAAATTGTATCTAATTGACCAAGGGTGGCACACAAGGTTCAACATATCTTGGTGCTCTTACAACACACAATAATATTTGCTCAATTCCTTATTTAATCCACAAGTGTCATCCACTACTTAATCCTTATACAATTGATAACCATTTCAATGACATAATCCATTTACATGCATACTCATAATTAAACAACATCATATCCTAAAATAGGCCTATTTCCCTTCCATCACATACATTCATAATTAATTACACAAGGTCCTTAATACATCAATTACATTTAAATCCACTACAAATATAACTACTACGCTATGATGCTCAAAATAATAATAATTACATAACCACTAGACTTAGCTCCAAAATACTACATGAACAAACACTAGGCATGTTATACATCACTCATGCAATACTACATGTTCATGCACTAAGACTAGCATGCCAAATGAAATCCCAAAATGCAAAAATGTAAACTATCATGGTGCACTCCAATGGCTCTACTCCACATCATCCGGTGGGCCTTTTGCCCAACACTCTTGCACCGCTAGATGAACCTGAAACATAACCCCATAACGCGGGGTGAGATATACGAATATATCTTAGTAACCCAAAGGTTATGGAGGATCACTCTGCCCAATGGCTCACTCAGATGTATAAAACAATAATACATATATAAATGGAACATGCAAATCAACACGGCACAACGGCCTACGACATACGACATATGACAATCTCAATCGGGTCTACAACCAAGAATATATCCCTGGGATATAATTCATGGCACCCACAACTATAACTCCCGAGACATTCCAAGAGTGCTCTTCAACGGATAACAACTCTATGGCCCCCGACCAATTGGAACTCCATACGGAGGCCTCTCCAGTGGAAGTCCCCTACGACAAATACAATAATCTATCTACTGGCCAGAGATATAGGTATAAACTAATATATACTAAACAACAAACACAATGCATGAACATGTTATAACACATATTATTGCATCCAACAACTTTCAACCACTACCCCACTAGGCATGGAGGAGCACACACGTGGATTTTTCCCAGTACCAAGGGATTATCTCTTTGAAGCTCCTAAGCTAGGTAGCTTCAATCTCAAGTTACCTCAAGCCTCAGCTTTCAAAAGAAATGCCTACAACAAACAGTCATTTCAACAATTACTATGTGCAAAATGATAACTCAATTGGTTATCTAAACAACTACACATCCAAGTAAGTAATTACTTACCAAAATCCTTTTAGTCAAGGACCAAAGGCAATCCACAAGCTCCAAGCTTTAATCTTCTACGATTGTTCCTGAGGGAGGCAACCTACAATGATCACACACATATGATCATCAATCAACTCTTCCAACAAGTCACAATTTAACACAACACAATACCCCCCCCCCCCACATGTTCATGATTAAGCCATTATGGCCATAACACCCAATTCTTGTTTTTATTCAATCATCCTTATTGTTTCCTTAGCCACCTACAACATCATATCAACCCACAATTACATCAAATCCTAACTTAGCATAATTTTCCCCACAAATACCCTATATGGCCGAATGTGAGGCATCCAAGGGGCTAGGGAATTATCTTGGATTTTCAAGGTTCAAGGTGCATACTTAGGTTCACATTACTTGATTCGAACACCTACCACATCAATTCATCAAGCCAACACACAAACTTACACAATTTTATTCAAAATTACCCTATATGGCCGAACTTATACCTTATAGAAACCAAGGGATTTTTCTCTCAATCCACATGCATTAAACTCTCATACAACCCAATTATCAATGATTTAAATCACCAACAACTCAATTACACAATTTTCCAACAACTCATTTTCTCAAGAACCATGTTCATCCATGAAATTTTTCTAAGTTACACAAACTTTTTCACAAGAATTTTTATGAGTTCAATCATCATTCTAAGTAACATTTATCAAAGACACAAAGTCATTTAAGGCCTCCAACCACCCAAATTCACAAAGACATAAGCTTAGGTCTTCATTTTTTGATCTGAACAAAAATCCAATAAAATGTGTGGAAATTTATCACAAATCAATGCTTAAGACTCATATGAATGTTTCCCAAGCAACCACTCGTGCAACAAGCACCATTGGCTCCATCTCCATCAAATTTTCGCAAGCTTCAAGAGGAAATATCACAAAATTTAGGGGCTTTCAAAAAGATTAGAGGTGTTGGTTAAGTTCATAAGGTGGATTACTTAAATTTTCATGTAAGGTTTGAGTGGATTTGATGAAGAAATGGAAGAGAAATTTTCTTCCCATATAACCATGGTTGAGTTCACAAGGTGGATTACTCAAGCAACAAGCACCATTGGCACATTTCCCCAAAAATTCTAAAATCCATCAAATTTTGCCAATAATCATATTTCTTAGTTCTAATTACCTTTTCTAACATATATTCAATCCTAGAGTACTAATTTCACTTTGCACGTTTTTTGATTCAACTGTACTGCGGTATTTCATCCATTAAAAATGCTATTCATTAGGGGTGAAACTGGGTCGGGCCAGCCTACAGGGGCCTACGGTTCGACCTACGTCAGGTCAGACCAGATTTAGTATATTTCGTAAAATTGGCCGGGCTTTGGTTTTGAAAAAGCTTGTTTAATAAATAGGTCGTAGACCCACTTTCACAAGGCCTGACCTATAAGCTTACAAGCCGGCCTATATTGTATTATTTATTTTAAATAAAATAAAATAGAATACGTATGTCTTGAAGAAAAAACGAAAGATATAAATTTAATCAATTGCAATTATTTATAAATTAATTATATTCGATTATATTTTAATAGAAATCTGACTTTATTTCTTATGAAGGAGGAACCGACATCTCAACATGTTAAATTGTATATATGAATATATTAAAAGGTTTTTGGAAGATGTTATACTTACTACAAGCATCATGATGTGTTTGTTGGATTCATGTAGTTATTTTAATTTACATAGTATGTATTTGTTTGTTGGATCTGATGAAATATATGTTATTTAATTTGAGCATTTTGTTTTTGAAAGTGACTTAAATGCAGGTTGTGATGAGTTTTATTGTAATTCATAATTGTGATTTTTGGTTTAGCAACATAATTTGAATATTTTGTGAAGTTGATTCATCATTCTGCTTGGAAGTTAAAAATTAACAAGATAACGGGCTAGGCCAGACCATTTGTTTTTTAATAAATGGAGTCAGGCTAACAATTAGACTCGTAGTGGCTTGGGCCAGGCCAAATTGAATTTTTTTAGCATAGGCTTGGGCTTTTCCGGGCAAAGCTTGGCCCAACCCAGCCCACTTTCACCCCTATTATTCATCAATTTTCCAGAAATTTGCGTAACCACTCAATTTTTCGTTCTGAATCCATTTCCAGTATTATTTTCATCACTTGAGGCCTAATTTTATCATTTTACAATTTAGGGTTACATATTTGTTGATTTATCGTTTTATCTTTCGTAGGTATTTTGACCAAGAACTTAGAATTTTCGCTAAACATCCTCTCTTATCCTCAATTTAATTATTAATATGCATTTCAAATATACGAGGTGTTATATTAACTTACACTGATGTAAAATGATCATGACCATATATATATATATATATATGTATATATATGAGCTTATCATTTCTCAGGTCACTTGAGATAATTTTATCTCCGGCAATCAAATCATAACCGTACAAAGATGGATCAATGGTGATAAAGGAAGAGAGAGAAAAAAGAAAATCATAACCATTCAAAGGTGAATCAATTAATATAAGGAAATAAATAAACAAAACAACATAGTTTTGAGGTGACCGAAGAAAAATATATATCAAGTGACTTGAGAAATATTTTTCTCTCTGTGTGTGTGTATATATATATATCTATATATATAGGTAAAATCATTTCTACAGCCGCTTTACGTACGAAACGATATGTGTATAGTTATGATTCCTCACATTTAATGTTTTCATCTTTTGTATGGTTATGATTCCTAGCATTTAATGCTTTCACGTATATATATGGCAAATATTTGATTGCTGCACGTACTGCAGCTATAGAAATATGTGTGTTTGTGTGTATATATATATATATATATGATAAAATCATTTCTACAGCCGTTTTATGTGCAACAATGATAGATATATAGTTATGATTCCTCACATTTAATGCTTTCATCTTTTGTATGATTATGATTCTTCATTTTTAATGATTTCACACACACACATATATATAGCAAGTATTTAACTGCTGCACGTATAGCAATTGCAAAAATATGAACCCTTATATATATGTGTGTGCAAGAATAAGAAATTTTACATCAAGTCTTAACTATTAATTTGTTTGCATATAAGCACTGTGTTTTGAACCCGTCAACAAAGACCTCCACACATGTTCCAGACCTATTACTATTTTATATGATCTCACTATCTTCAATTTAAATAATGAAAACTAAAATCAAATCCACACAATTTCTTGTTATATGCTTCAAATCCATACAAAGTAAATTAATTTTAATACTTTTAAAATATAATTTCCTTTATAAATCAAACAAATTCCTTAAGTTAGTGATTGTGAACATTCTCATGTTGATTAAAAACTAAACAGTAAATAAAAAGCCTGCGTAGAGAACCAATCAAACAACCTGCATTTGTCACTTAAAGATAAATCACTAAGAATCACCTATAGTTTTTTTTTTCCCCTTTTTTTTTTTGTAACAAGAATCACCTATAGTTACCTCCTGAAAAGAGTGCTAAACGATGTAAGTCTGTTCTATCCAAGTTTTCCCATCAGATAAGTTTCTTTATATCTCCACCCAGACTTTGTCAACAAAGAAACAGTAAGGTCAACTGAAACGACTTAAGACTTAGGACAACAAAATTCCCATCCCTGAATTTTAGGATATATACACCTACATATTTAAATCTTTAGTGGCGTACTAATCAGCAATCCTTTGAAACTTTCCCTTTTCTTCATCGAAAATGCCCATGTGCTTCCTTTTCTTGGATAACTCAGAAGAATTTTGAAATTCATTTTGTTCACTAAATTGAGCAGCTGTTCGAGCCCTTAGTTCTTCCAAACTCTCACCTTCTTTCGCTCTCTCTATCACCTGAAAATAATAAGGACCATTAATTTCAAATATTAACAGAACTTTCGACACCACATAAAGACAAGGGGGAGGAAGGGCGGTTAAGGGGATTCACTAAATAGAATTTCACAAATCCATAATTTAGTTTCACTTACCAGATGCCTACCATACAGATGGGTGCTTGAGAGTGCTTCAAGAGCATTTTGTGCCTCCTGCTGAGTAACATACTCTACAAAAGCAAAGCCTCTATGATTTCCAAACTTCATTGGCAACCTTAAGCTTTTAATCTGCACGGTTTGGAGCCATCAAACATGAGTCAAAAGCAAGGACAGCATATTTGCACCAGAGAACTAAACCTACATATTTTGGCTGAAATGGACCAATAGTTTTGCGACAGCTACAAAAAGATTAAAAATAATAAATAAAGTAGAATAAAAAAAAATAGGTATATCAATTATAAGGGGGCCAGAATTTAACATCTTAGAAAAATAGAAATCACTAGAAATTTAGCTAAAATAAGTTAATAAATTAAGAATGAAATAGCTCAAGGTCATACAACTCCTTTAAGATTATTTTAATTTTAGATATAATCCAAAGGGACAAAGAGGGCAAACCTAGAGCAGTGGTAAAGTTGCTCCATTATGATTTGGGTTCGAATATGGGAAATAGCCTCTTTACAAATATGAAAGATAAGACTTACTACAAGGACTCACCCCTACCCTCGTTAATCAGGGTTTAATGGAGTGGTTTAATTTATATAATCCATCGGGTTCATCATTTTAACTTTTGAGTAAGAAGTAACAAGTCTTAATTTTGAAATCTCATTTCGATAATGTAAGATGTAACCGAAATCATTTGGATTTCACATACGAGGTAAGTGTACAAATCATGTGGAACTCAAGGCCCATCATTCTGGAGCCATTATTAACATAATTGCACTTTGTCATCTAATCAGCAGTATGGAACTCAAATGTTCAACATAAAACAAGTTTAAGAATTTTATAGCAGGTTCCTGATTGCAAACACCTTAAAAGTGGTTCAACAACAACCATCTGGCATAATATGCACTTGATTCATTCAACTCAATACACAACTATAATTTCAAAACATTTAAGATAACTTCTGGAAGTTCGTATACTTCCCTTAGAATGTGTCATTACTTGTAATAGATGCATTCAGTTATAAACTTGGACAGGAGAAAGAAAGAATATTTATTAGCTATTGGCACAAACAATCAATTTTAATAATAATCACCTGGCCAAACGGGCTAAACAACTGTCTTAGGTCCTTCTTTGTTGCCTCAAAAGCAACATTTCTTACAAGCAATTTTGTAGAACTCTTATCCTTCTCAACTGTCTTTCGTACTTGCCCGTCATTCTTGACATGACAAAGTTGTAAAATAATAGCATGCCCCTCCAAAACAGTCCCCTAAACAGACAAATAAAAAAATTAAATAAAAACAGAACTAGAATTAAGATCTAAAAATGCATATAACATGCATAGTTTGATTCAAATGTGTATATACCTGTAAATCGCTACAAACATTTGTAGCTGTCTCCGTGGAGTCAAACTCAACGAATCCAAAACCCATAGAAACATTTTTCCCATTTTTCAAGTGCTTATTCACCTATTTGGGACAGCAAAACAAAACTATAAAAAACAGCAAATCATAAAGTGTAAGGTGTTAGCACTGAAGCCCATCATTACCTTGACACTCAAAATTCTTCCCTCTTTCATGTGCTCAGTAAAATGCTTCCTCAGACTCTTGTCTGTTGTCTTGAAATTGAGGTTCTTGACAAACAGGGACCGAGCCTGAAGCATGATAGGTTAATCAATAATAGAAGAACAAGCATTACGAATTAGTTAGCAGCCACTAATTTCAAAATTAATATTGGTTTGTAAACAAAATAATCTGATAGAAAACTACTCTTCTTATTTTATCTGATATATTTTTTTAAATATATATATATATATATAATTTATATTTTTGTTTATTCTATTTTATTTCTTTTTAACTTCAACTTGTTATAATTGATTGTTTGTTGTCCCCATTAGTAAAGAAAACAGACTATTTCTATATGAGTGGCATAGAGGATTGGGTTTATCTCCTACGCTGACCAATATAACTAATATGTGTGGAAGAAGATTTAGGGAGTCCGTTATATGGTTGCTTAATAGAATATATAGGGGTAGGGGTAGTAGGGGAAGAGGAGGGGTAACTACAACGACAGCCTTATACTTGAAAAAGGTAATGAAATATATTATTGAATTAATCTAAAATGTACAAAAGATTTCTCTATTTAAAAAGAATACATGACCTAATGGGCTAAGCCCAAGAGAGATTCTAAAATAAAACAAATAAATAATTATTATTATTTACAATACTCCCCCTCAAGCTAAAGAATAGATATTTATCATTCTCAGCTTGCTAGTAAGCTCTTGAAATCTATCTGAAGGAAGTCCCTTTGTCAATACATTAGCTAATTGACGCCCAGTGAGAATGTATGGAGTGGTAATCAACCCGCTATCAAGTTTCTCTTTGACGAAATGGCGGTCGACCTCAATATGTTTAGTCCGATCATGTTAAATTGGATTATGAGCTATACAAATAGTGGACTTATTATCACAAAACAGCTTCATAGGTCCCTCACATTTTATTTTGAGATCATCAAGTACAATTTTCAACCACAACAACTCACAAATGCCTTGAGCCATAGCTTGAAATTTAGCCTCTGCACTTGATCTGACAACTACATCTTGTTTCTTACTTCTCCACGTCACCAAATTACCACAAAGAAACATACAATAACCAATGGTAGAACGATCGTCAGTCACAGATCCAACATAATCAGCATCAGTGTAAACTTCTAAAGAGAGATTGCCATCACGCCGGAATAACAGTCCTTTACCAGGAGTGGCTTTAAGATACTGAAGAATTTTCTCCACTGCCTGCATGTGTTTCTCCTTGGGATCGTGCATAAACTGACTAACAATACTAACAGCATAAGCTAGGTCTGGTCTAGTATGAGCCAGATATATCTGTTTCCCAACTAGCCGTTGATATTGTCCTTTATCAACTGGAGGACTCTCCTCTTCATAACCTATCTTGTGATTCTGCTCAATAGGAGTATTAGAGTGTTTACACTCAAGCTTTCCTGCTTCTTTGAGAAGATCAAGAATATATTTCCTCTGGCTGATAAAAATTCCTTTCTTTGAATGAGCTACCTCTATCCCTAGGAAACATCGCGGTTTCCCAAGATCTTTAACTTCAAACTCAGAGGCTAGTAGTGTTTGCAGAATATGTCTCTCCACAAAATCATCACCTGTTATAATAATATCATCAACATATACAAGGAGCACAGTGAGCTTCCCATCTTGGGAGTGCTTGAAGAAAAGAGTGTGATCTCCTTGACTCTGTTTGTATCCTAAGGTCATCATAACCTTAGTAAACCTCCCAAACCAGGCACGAGGTGACTGCTTCAATCCATACAAGGCTTTTCTTAATCTACAAACTTTATTTTCTCCGTCCACAGAATCAAAACCAGACGGGATTTCCATGTAGACTTCTTCTAACTCACCATTAAGGAAAGCATTCTTCACATCAAATTGATTTATATCCCAATTGTAATAGGCAGCAAGGGATAACAAGACTCTCACGATATTCATCTTTGCAACTGGAGCAAAGGTTTCTTCATAATCAATGTCATAGGTCTGAGTGTAACCCTTGACGACTAACCGAGCCTTGTATCTCCCAAGAGTGCCATTAGAATTATACTTTAGGGCATAAACCCATCTGCACTCTACTGCTTTCTTTCCATTGGGTCTATCAATAACCTTCTGTGTTTTATTTTTCTCCAACGCATTCATCTCCTATTGCATGGCTTGAGCCCAATCCTCATTTTTCAATGCTTCATGTACTGATTTTGGGATTGAAATAGAATCTAGTGCTGAAACAAAGCTTTTGTGCTGCACAGAAAGATTAGTAGAAGAAACAAAATGGGAGATAGGGTATTGAGTACAAGAGGGACAAGAGGAACAAGATTTTTTTTAACAAGATCTTTTCCCTTTTCTTAGGGCAATAGGTAAGTCATCAGAAGCAGAAGCAATGGGCAAGTCATCAGAGGTATCAGAAGAAATAGGCAAATCATGAGAGGCAATAATATTAGAATCAGAAACAGGAGATTCAGGACTTACCAGTGGTTCAGACGATTGAGGTTGCTGGTGAGGCAGTATGGGTTGTTTCCTCCTCTGATATACCTATTCAGGTGTCAAAATCTTTCGTATCTCAGGTGTATTTGAAGGTTCTGACACACAAGAAGTAGACACTAGGAAGAGGTGTAGGAGTAGACAAGGACGATCCAGACTCAAAGAAGGAAGGGGATGAGTCTTCTGAAGAACTGTTCTCCCCCTGAAGATGAAGACCCAGGAAATAAGACTCGGATTCTTGAAAGGTGACATCCATAGAAACAAAAAAAAAAATCGACTTGGTGGATGATAACACTTGTACCCTTTTTTATCAGAGGCATAACCAAGGAAGACACACTTAAGAACCCTAGGATCCAACTTACTGCGATGTTGTTTATGAACATGGACGAAGGCAACACATCCAAACACTCTTGGTGGAAGGCTCTGCAAAATGGGAACAGAAGGAAAGAAGGAAGTCATGGAATGAATAGGACGGGCGTTGTTAAGGACCCGTGAAGGTAAGCGGTTGATCAAAAAGGCTGCAGCTAACACGGCTTCTCCCCAATAAGAACTAGGAACAGATGTCTGGAAAAGTAGTGCTCTAGCAACTTCAAGGAGGTGACGATTTTTTCTTTCAGCAACCCCGAGTTAAGGGGTATCAACACATGTGAGCTCATGAATCATACCTCTGTCTGAAATGAATTGCGACAGGCGTTGGTTGACGTACTCAGTACCATTATCAGATCTTAGTCTTTTAATACACTTACCAAACCGAGTCTCAACCATGTGATGAAATCGAATAAATATCTCTGGTACTTCAGACTTGTCTTTCATCAAGAATATCTATGTTACCCGAGTACAATCGTTAGTAAAAGAAACAAACCACCTTGCACCTGAAACACTATGCACTTTAGAAGAGCCCCAAACATCAGAATGGATAAGAGAAAAAGGTTCGCTTCTTTTGATAGTGCTAGAAGGAAATGACACTCGATGGTGTTTTGCAAATTCACAAACATCGCAATGAAAGGTCTCAACTGACTGATTTAGAAACAGAGGAGGAAACATTGACTTCAATAGACTAAATGGTGGATGCCCTAGACGCTTGTGATGGAGCCAAATCATAGACTCTGCACTAGAAGGATGACGTGTCATTAATAACTGATTTTTGCTATCATTTATAGCATGTTCTGGAAGGAGATAATACAACCCATCCTGCTCATTAGCAACTCCAATTGTCTCCTTCGTGGTAAGATCCTGAATAACACAATGAGAAGGGAAAAATGTGATAGAACAATTCAAATCAGTTGTAAGTTTTTGAGTGGAGATAAGATTAGTAGAAAGCTGAGGAACATAAAGAACATTTTTACGAAACAAGGAAGGTTGAATTTGAATGTTACCAGATGAACAATATGACTACCAACAATAGGATGATAAGAAAGAAAAAACTCAGTACGACAAGTCATATGATCAGTTGCACCAGAATCCAAAATCCATGAGGTTTTAAAATCAGTGCAAGAAGCAAGAAGAGATGTAGAACATGTGTTCTTACCAGACAAGATCAAAGAACGGTCAGATGGCTTACACATATTATCAATAGCGGGTTTAAGCTGATTCAACTCCATTTGCTGAATATTCACATATGGAGAGACATGTGGAGGCTGCGTAATAATCGAACCATCTTCTAAATCGGCCGTAGTGATAAGAAAGAGTGAAAAACAGCACCAAAAACACACAACTTACACCCAAACGACGTCAGATCAGAGAGAAAATCACAGATCCAGTTAGAGGAAGAAAACATAGATCTGGAAAGAGGAGACAAAACCAAGTAGGAAATTTTTTTATTTTTTTTGTGAACAGTACCCGATGAACAGTACCCAATGAGCAGTACCATGTGAATAGTGCGCGATGAACATTACCACATTTTTTTTTTGAGCTGTTCCGGTCGTCTGATGAAAAAGAAACCTCCGTAGAATGATAGATCTAAGAAAACAGAGTGAAACAGGGGTCCTCACGGTCCAAAAGGTCCTCGGAAATTTTTTTCCTGCGGCGGCTTTGTGGCGATGAGAGGAAAATAGGGTTTGGTTTTTTAAAGACGGTGATTTGCGGAAGCAGAGCCCTCAGAATCGAAAGCTTTGATACCAACTTGAAAAAGTAATGAAATATATTATTGAATTGTATCTAAAATGTACAAAGGTTTCTCTATTTAAAGAGAATACACGACCTAATGAGCTAAGCCCAAGAGAGATTCTAAAATACAACAAATAAATAATTATTATTATTTACAATACTTATTTTATTAAATATAAAATGCTCAATGACATTGTCCACACACCACTAAAGAATAATTTCAATCATATGATACATGCCCAGGGTAACCAGACAGTCAGCAACTGTGTATTCAAGTAGAACTGTAGAACATATACAAGGAAGGCACATGCCTCCCCTTCCAGGGCATACTCATCCTTCAAAGTTGATAATACTTGAGATTGGATATTGTGTGTCTAATACGCGCACACAGGGAGTATATTTATATTAACAAGTACTGAAACTAATCTATCATATATAAGATGTGGAATTATTCTATTATATACACAATACTACTTTAACATATTATTCCAAAGCTCCCC